AAAATAAAAATAAAAATAAAGGGCCAAGGAGATGGCTCAGTAGAATAAGTGCTTGCCTGGTAAGCGCAAGGGCCTGAGTTCAATCCCCAGTTCCGCCAAAAAAAAAAAAAAAAATTTAAAATAGGGCCAGGGAGATAGCCCAGCAGCATAAGTGTCTGCCTGGCAAGCACAGATCCTGAGTTTGAACCCTGGAACTGCAAAATAAATAAATAAATACTAAAATAAAATAAAGTCAGATGTGATGGTGCATGTCTGTAATCCCAGCACTAGGGAAGCTGAGGTAGGAGGACCGCCACAAGTTGGAAGCCAGCCTGGGCTACATAGTGAGTTCAAGGTCAGCCTGGAATATGAAGCAAGAACCTATCTCAAAAGGACAAAATAAAACAGAAATAAAGTCCTGGCCTGGCCTCCTACTGCTTTCAGGGCGCAGGACAAGCTGCTTGCACCTGCCCTTGCCTGGCGCTTGCCTGCCCAGGGCTTGGCTCTCTCCCTCCCCCCCTCCCGGCTGAGTGGAGCCCTCCTCCTCCTCCTCGGGATTCTACTGCCCAGAAGCCCCTGTTGGTTGGCGCAGCTTAGATGTTGGTTTCGCGGAGACTTCCCTGCGTGCCCTGAGCCGCCCCCTCTCCCACCTAGTTAATCATAAACCACTTCTCCCCAGTGCCGCAGACGCGGCTGCCCTGCTTGCGGAAACACCATATCGAACTTTTCCAGATCACTTGGCCAACAGCTGCTTCCAGGTTCCCACTAGCCTCTTCTCCCACACCCCACCTCCACCACATCCAGCGACCAGAAGGCTGAAGCCGACACTGCAGGTGGCCAGGGAGCCTGTGCTGGTGTCAGTGGCCAGCATTCATGCTGCCTGGCCAAGTGTCCGGGCTCTGCAGTTGGTAATCATTGTTAAATCCATCTCACTCGTTACCCTCGATTGTGACTTTCTCGATTGTACATTGTCTGTTTAGTCTATGGGGACAAGACCCCTTTCCTTACCAGCTGAGCGCCAGGTCCACAATAGCTAGGCGCCCAGGGGGCATTAACTAAATGGCTGAATGAGAGAGATCGAGGCCCAAAAAGTCAGAGAGTAACTCTGAAAACTTACAGCAGCTCGCTCTGGACTCTGAAGCTTTCTGGGCCTGAGTGGGAGTCACACCCACATTTTATAGTTCTGCTTGTTTCTACCCTGGAGGAAGTTCTCCTTACCTGCCCCAGTCTGGCTCCAGCCTGGCCAGCTCCACCCTGCCTCCAGCTCTTCTGCCGACACACACGTAGGTGAGCATGGGTGTGTGCAGGCACTCACTGTGCACACACACAGGGCGGAGCAGCGACCAGTGCTCGCTGCTCTGAGGGGGTCATTAAACTGTCCCAGTTTCCCCCCACACACTTGTGGCTCAGCGCACGGGAACCCTTGCTTCCAGGCCAATGGGGCCACCTAAACTCTGGATTGCTGGGGTCACTTTTTGCAGACTGCAGAGGGGGCGATAGCAGTCAGAACTGCCGTGCTTGCCGTTGCTGCCAAGCCACTCCCTGGCCCATGTGGCTCTGTCCCCACTCTGTCCCTTACTGACCATGGAAAATCACGTCCCCTTTCAGTTTCCTCAAATGGAAATCGGATAACATCTTTCTCACAGAGACTTTGCAGTTAATGCAGGTAAAAGTGCCTGAAATGTCGTAGTGCCTGGCACATGGCAAGTACTGTGGAAATGAGAAGCACTGTTAATTTTATTGTTGTTATTATAATTGCATATATTTATACCTCTTTTTTTTTTTTTTTTTTTTTTTTTTGAGGCAGGATCTTGCTATGTAGCTAAGGCTGGCCTCAAACAGTGATCCTCCTGCTTCAGCCTCCCAAAGGGCTGGGATTACAAACACGTGCCACTATTTCTGGCTATAATTGTATATGTGTATAGAAGAAAGTTTCCTAGATTTGAGTGGATGTGGTGATGCATGCTTGTGATCCCATCCCTCAGAAGGCTGAGACAGGAGGACTGCCACAAATCCGAGGCCAGCCTGGACTACAGAGCAAGTCCAGGAATACATAGTAAGACCCCATCTCAAAAAAGTAACTATAACAACGACAACAACAACAAAAAACCCCAAAGTTTTCTACATTTTTCAGTTTGTGAAATGGTTAAAAGATAGTCAAAGGGGCTGGGGAGATAGCTCAGTAGCATAAGCGCTTGCCTGGCAAGCACAAGGACCTGAGTTCAATCTCCGGTTCCACCAAAAAAAAAAAAAAAAAAAAAAAGATTCTTTTCCACCTCTCGATGCTGGGCTCCAGCAGTACCATTCAGTGATTGGGCGGGAAGGAAAGCAACAAATCTTTCCTCAGCTTGCTCTCACCTACTGGCTCCAATGGAGTGTGAAGTCTCCCAGTCAGGACCACCCTCCACCTGCCCAAATTCTTTGACAAGGACAGTCACATTTTTTTTTTTTTTTTTTTCAATCTTAGGTAAAGCTCTGAGCGAATAGCCACAAGTCAATCCTGCCTTCATCTTTCCACGTGACCCTTCGCAGTGCCTGATGGCCTTCAGGGGTTGTAGCAGACACCTGAGTCCTGCTGCTGTCTTGGAGTCTTGGAGTCTGTTCTGTTTTTTAACACATGATCTTGGGGCTGAGGATATAGTTCAGGGGCATAAACACCTGCTTGGCAAGCTCAAGGTCCTGAGTTTGATCCCTGGTACTGAAAAAGAAAAAAAAAAAAAATCTCGCTATGTAATTCAGGCTCTCCTGGAACTCAAAGTGGAGTCCAGGGTAGCCCCAAACTTGCAGTGTTCTTCCCGCCTTAACCTCCTAAGCCACCCGTGCTTTTTTGAGGAGAGAGGCGCTGGGAATCAAACTCAGAACCTTGCACTTGTCAGGCAGGCACTGTGCCACTGATCTATATCCCTGGCTCCTACCCTTGCTTTTTTTTTTTTT